GGGTCAAGAAGCTATAAAATTCACAATTTTTGCTACAACTGACATTAAATCTTTCAATTCTGAGAATCCTGATTTGGCACACAACACCTCCTGATGGATAATGCAATGAAAAGGTACAAGTGGATGTCTAATAGCTTCCATAAACAATTTAAGGAATCCCACATTTTTTCACACCATATTTGGTGCCCCGTCTGTCATGACTGACACAGTTTTAGAGATATCAATGTTTAGGTCACTGGATGTTTTTATAACAACCTTTCATATTTCGTTTCCTGATGTACTTATTGGCACTAATTCTATCTTTATCAACTCTACTCTCATTTATTTCTGCTCTGATCTTTATTATTTCCTTCCTTCTACTTACTCTGGGCTTTTCTTGCTGTTCTCTTTCTAATTCTTTAAGTTGTAAGGTTAGATCGTTTATTAATAATTTTGTGTGTGTGTGCGTGTGTGTTTGAGGTATACCTTTAATGCTATAAACTTCCCTCTCAGGACTGCTTTTGCTATGTCCCGTATATTTGGGGGTTTTGTTTGTTCATTTTTATTTGTTTCCATATAATTATTGATTTCTTCCTTGATCTCATTGGTAACCCCTTCATTGTTTAATAACTTATTATTTAGCCTCCATGTGTTTGAATGTTTTTGAGGTTTTTTTTTTAAATTTTGGTTTATTTCTAGTTTTAGAAATTGTCATCTGAGACTATGCTTGATATGTCTTCAATCTTCTTGAATTTGTTAAGACTTATTTTGTGTCCTAACCTGTCGTCTATCTTTGATAATGTTCCATGTGCTTTTGAGATGAATGTATATTCTGTTGCTTTGAGATGAAATGTCTCTTCTCCCCTCAAAACTGAGCCTAGCAGGGTGGGGCCAGTTGGGTTTCCCTGCTACCTTCCTCCAGCAGGACTTGGAGGAATAAATCAGGGCAGCAGTTCACTTGAGGTGGCACCAGCCCTTGGGAGCGTAGAGAGCTGCTTGCCTCCTTGTATCTCTGCAGCGTACTGCCAGAGACCTTGACAGAGAACTCCGCAGGGCTCCAGTCAAATGTCACAGTTCTGAGTTACACCCTCTTCCCCTCATGGGCCCTTGGGAGTGGAACTGCCTGCTAGCCTTCTCCTAGCTCAGCAGCACTCCACCAGAGACCCTAATGGAAGGCTCTGAAGGGGTTGTGCCAAATGTTCCAATTCTGAGTTGTGTCCCTTTCCCCTGTGAGGTTGCACCAGCAGAAGGGCTTGTGTCAGTTCTTCCAGTTCTGAGTTGTGCTGCACCAGCAGCATGGTGCTGGCAAAGTTTGGAGGAACAGATCAACACAGCCCCCCATTAAGGGTTGCACTGCCCTTGAGAGTTGCATAGAGAGCTTCTCGCCTCCTAGCCCTGTAGCACACTGCCAGAGACCCTGACAAAGGAGTCTTCCATTTGGATGGTGCCTGCCTAACCTGTGGGAGAGAGAAAGATTGGCCCTTGTTCCCAAGTCACTCAGTTCAATGATCATCTGAGAGTTTGCCTATAGTTTCTCCAGAGAAAGAGTGCACCTCAGGTCCCTGTTGGGTGTAGCTTACAGTCCTTTATGCCAGACTTGAGCTTGACAGGGTGGTGTCAGCAGTGTTTGGAGGCTGGGGTTAGTGCACTTTCTTCAGCTGGTGCTGTAAGAATAGAAGTGCTCAACTTTCAAACATGGTGCCCGAGGGTGGTGTGGAATGTTGGCTCAGACTGGGACCTCAGTAGCCTATCTTCCTGATCTCTAGCACTATGCCACCCAGATTTTCTCCCTATGGCTTCTGTATGCCCTGAATCTCCTTCCCTCCACCAGAGCCCTGGGTGAGTGGCCAAGAGCGAGCCCCAATGCATTGGCCCTAAGGAGAGCACCTGGGATTCTAGCAGACTCCCTTCACTTTCCAGCAGACATAGTATCTGCTTATTTTTGCTGCCAGATGCTATGCAGTTTCTTCTTCCCAGCTCTGGTGCTCTGGTTTTGGGGTCCTGGCATGGGTTTGAGACCCCACTTTCCTCTGTACGTACTTTTGCAGCCACAGTATTTCTCCGGCTTCTTAGCCGCTGCCCCTGGTTGTAGTTACCAGCCCCCTCTGCATCTACACCCTTATTACCAGTCTCCGTGTAGCTTCTTTTTTCAGTCTGTGCAGATAATACTCCTGTTCAGGTGTCCTTTGTTGTTTATTGAGATTGACTGCTCTGAATTTTAGCTGGCCCAGCTGCAGTGGCTCAGTGCTTGATCATCTACCTATGAAACAGGAGGTCATGTTTTGATTCCGGTAGGGGCATATGCCCGGGTTGTGGGATTGATGCCGATTGTTCAGGAGGCAGCCGATCAATGATTCTCTCTAATCATTGATGTTTCTATCTCTCTACTTCTCCCTTCCTCTCTGAAATCAATAAAAATATATTTTTTAAATGTCATTAAATTTTAGCTGTAAATCCGGTTTGTCACCTGGAAGAGGTGTGTGTCACTTTCAGCTACTCTGCAGTCATCTTGGGACCTGTTTGTGACTTTTGTTGATGATATTGTTGAAGTAGGAAGGGATAAAAAGGGTCTGATAGCAGTTGTATTTGAAGCAAACATGTCAATGTGGCTTGATCAAAATCAGATAGGTACTGATTGCTCTGAAGAAGGCAAAGAATATAGCTGAGAGTTTGGAAATAAGGAAAATATCAAATGTTTTAATATCTAGGTCTTCATCATACACCTTGCTCCACCACCACTTCCCTCACAAACCAGAGAGCTATCAGCAACCCATAGCAACTTGGAGTTTAATACATCTAGCAACGTAATAAATGATGTAAAGAAGAGATGCCTCAATGGCTAGAACAAGCATGTCAAACTCGTGGCCCATGGACCACATGCGGCCCACAAAGAATATTTTTTTGCATCCCAGCCAATATAACGGTATGTAAGAAATGTTTTAATAAAAATTTCATAACTTAATTTTTACAATATTCTGTTATACATAATTATTAATAATGAACTACAACATTTTCTAATGACTGATTACTATAATCGTGTTACATTCATATTCATTTCCCTTACACGCATTTTCTAATGACTGATTACTATAATCGTGTTACATTCATATTCATTTCCCTTACACGCCTTACGAGCAGGCTCACTGTTTCTCTCCACTAATACTAGCAGCAAATATTTTAGCAGCCGATTGCCACGTTATTAGTCTTGGACTGACTTGTTTGGTGTGCGCAACAGGAAATATTTCACTTTTGGAGAACAAGAAAAATAGGTTTGTTTGCGTTACACTTACTAATTTGTGCAGTTATTCAGTGTCTGGTAAGTTAATGATCAAGAAAAAATATTAATTTTTTATTTAAATGTTCTATAATTTTATGTTAACGATTACTCATTTATTTCAGCCCTTGGTATTCAGCATGTCTCTATCGAAATAAACCTATGTTTCTAAGAAAATTGAAGCTTTTGTTTTTTTGTGGCCCACATAAACTTAAACCTTTTTTATTTGGCCCGCGTTAGCCTTTGAGTTTGACATGCTTGAGCTAGAAGAATATATTAATAAAACAGCCCAAACTACCTTATTCTTGGTTTCCATACACTCTTCTTGCTTAGCCACTGAGCTTCAGTACACCACTTATGTACTTATTTAAAGAGGAGAAGCTGTCTCTTTCCAGACAGGATTCAGGTCTGTAAGTGCATGTGCATGGCCAATGCCATTATAAAGGATTTGGGCTTGGAGTCTCTGTAGTGTTTCTGCTAAACAGAAATATCTTTGGATGTTTAGAATGAAGGGAGATTCTTTTTTCTATACCTTCTTTCAGCCTCCTGTTGCAAATTCAGGTCAGTTTTATCTACAGAGAAAGTTGGTTGAAGTAGGTAAGCTAACCCCCTATTTCTTTTTACCCCTACAGATGTTTTTGGGAATATATTTATATTTGGGGCCTTACTTCTTATTTGACATTGTGCATCTCCAAATGCACTCTCTGGAACCGTCAATGAAAGTTTGATCAGCCGTCTTCATTAGGCTTACTAGCATCTGACATTGAAACTGACACACTGAAAAGGTTTTACATTTCATCTACTATATTCTTTCCGTTTTTGCAGTTTGCTTTTAGCTGACTACACAGGCACAGCATTTTGCACATGTTGCATGATTCATTCCTTTCCTTTAGAATCATTTCCAGTGTACAGCTGCTCAACCTGTAATAACATTTGTCATCATCTCTTCATGTTCAATTTGCAGAGGGGTAGGGGTGGGGGAGGGGGAGTCTCTACTTTCATTTTAATGGAAATCATAGGTCTCTTTATTACTCCTTTCAGTTGCTTTTGTTCTTGTCAGGATGAGATTAATAATATTCCTGAAACAACTCAGAATGAAGCCCATAGCCACTGTAAACTAAGGACAGGTGACACCACTCAATGGTAACACCATCTGTTGGTGGTACACACAGCTGGGGTGCTTTGATTCTTTAGAATCTATCTTTGAAATTTATAAATTGGATAAGTATTCTGAATGACTCTCTAAAAATATTACCTGTTCTTTTTTTCTCTAGCAGACCTATAATTTTTGAATCACATTTACTTTAATATTGCAATATTTTAGTTGTGAATCTTGCTTTGCTTTGTCTCATGATGAGTTGGGACAAAATTATATGCTGTAAGAGTGCTGTATGGCCCTAACCGGTTTGGCTTAGTGGATAGGGTGTCGGCCTGCGGACTCAAGGGTCCCAGGTTTGATTCCGGTCAGGGGCATGTACCTTGGTTGCGGGCACATCCCCAGTGGGGAGTGTGCAGGAAGCAGCTGATTGATGTTTCTCTCTCATTGATGTTTCTGACTCTCTATCTCCCTTCCTCTCTGTAAAAAAATCAATAAAATATATTTTTTAAAAAAAAAATTCCCTGAGTACATGCTGTGGGCCAGTCAGTATCTGTGGATTCCTAAATGACTCAAATTAAGATGAGGGGCACTGACGTTCAGAGAAATAAAGTGAGTTGTCCGAATTTCTAGAGCTAATAATTGGCAGAGCTGAGGTCTGAACTCCAGATCTTCACTCCCAAGTTCCCTGCTCTTTTTTGTTTAAGCTGTGCTTTGTTTTTGTGGCTTTGGAATCATAGCATTGTTCTTTGCTGGGAGCCGTATGGCTTGGGCAGCCAGTTCTCTAGGAAGATAGCAAAATTTCTATGTTAGTGTTTTGTAGCTATCACCAGGAAGGGGAA